TTCATCTCCACCTCTTCAAATATAACTCTTGTTGTGTAAATACTCGAAACATAATCATTCTCTACTGCAATCACAGCATTAACATCCCAATTTACAAAGGCAATATTGGTGAATGATATTTCCATTTTGAAAGGATTGATTCGTATAAAGGGAGAATAATCAGCACATGAAATGAAAGTCTTTGACAATCCATAAAAGTTGGCAATAATCTTGCTTTGGATAGCCTCTGAATTGTTATAGTATGGCAAGTCAATTGCACAATTATTATTATTACTACCATCACTCACATCTATATTATTCAATAAATAAATATTTAATTCTTGTTCTTCCGCTATTATTACATGATAATAATTTAAATAGTATTATTATTATTAATTTACATATGATGATCATTAATTTACATTGAAAATCAACAAAATTACTATTCACATATTTAAAACCAAACTACCTACCTGTACTGGTCGTATTGAAAAGCACACTCCACTTCTCCAGTACATATTTTAGTGAGTTACACGGCTGAGAAGGGGTAGAACAGGGAAAGAAGTTATTGCTACTGCTGCTACTAGCCTTCGGATCAATGTAGACACTACTCGTTATCTTGGCAATTGTGGTGTTGATGGTCAAAATGTTGAGAAACAATAGCACCACGAGGATAGAAATCAATCGCCACACCTCATGATCCCTTCGGGTCATCATTGAATGTCTCATCCACACAAACTATGAGGAGGTTTTTTATTCTTCTTGCGTACGATATTACGATGACCAAGTAGTAACATCCACTCAATATTGGAAGTAAACATTGACATGTGAAAATACATTTGATACTTGTCAGCAATATTGAAAATTGCATTGTAATAGGTATTATGAATATTTACATAATAATTTAATGCTTGTCTGTGATGAGATAGGATAATTGGAGAGCTTCGTTCTCTGTTAAAATTCCATCACCATCCAAATCGTAAGGTGAGAGAACTCTCTTGCAAATGTGGTAATGTGTCTCCACTTCAGAGACTTGTATTTTACCTTCCACTTTCAATTGTTCAATTGATTTTCTGACTCTCTTTTTCCATTCTTCCAATTCATGCAAATCTTCAATATTAGGAATGCTTAACATTTGGTATTGATTCATTTTGGAGAAACCAGTTTCTGTTTTCTCATGTCTGAACTTTTCCAAATCTGCTAAAAAATCCTTCTTCACCATTGATATGGGTGGAGATTCAACATTATCAATATAATTGCTCAATTTTGGAATTACATCCTTCTTCCACTGATCAAGTGACTTGTTCATTACTTCTTCGTATAATTGTTTGAAAATCCAAGCTTTGATATTTTGTCGAACAAGGTATTGAGGGTGAATTAATAAATCAAAAACAGTTTCCAAATCCAACTTGTTGAGATAAACTGCTGCATAGGCAACACAAGCTCTATTACTCAGAAGTGAGTCCTTTGTTTCTATATTTATGAGATTTCTCAAGAGTGGTTTAATTTCCTTATCTATCACAACAGTTTGACATCCTACACAAGCACTTAATTTCAAGGCATAATTTGGTGTATCAATTGAACTGTTTGGCAATTTAAGGGCTCTTTTGATCATATCTGCTCTCATTGTTTCCGAAAGAATAACAAACGGATTCATCAGTAAATTACAAAGAGATTGGAAAGGATAAAATTCATTATCAGAAGATTCTGGCAATTTTCTAGTTCCTCTCAAATCAGCAGATATAAACCCGTGATCTATTATTTGCTTGAAAATATCCTCATGGTCTTGTAACGTTTCCTTCGTTAATCCTCTCCTCAACTTTTGCATATTATCAACATCTCTTGCCCTCAAAAATCCCATAACACTCTCCTCACAACTACTTCCAAGATCCGACAAGTTAGCTCCCGAAGAAAACATTGATAAGGAATCACTCACCGACGATGATGGCGTTAAGTGTTCGCTGTTATTGTTATTGTTGCTCATTACTATAGTAAATAGATATCTATTGGTTATAAGGGCGAAGCGTTGGGTTTTTTTTTAAAGTTTTTTTAAGGCACTTTTAATTGTACAGAAAAAAGGCGCCAAATTTCAATGCCAATTTTGTAGGAAGCCATTAACTCTGTGCCAAGTTGGTTTTAATTGTGGTTGCAGTTATTTGTGCAGAAATAGCAACCAATTAGGTAATGAGAGTGTGTCCAATAAAATTAGGAAAGATTACAATTTGTGAATTTTGAAAGTGTGAAAAGAGCAACCCAATGGTCAACCAAGAAAAGAACAATGAGGAACTAGCTGCCAAGAGTGGTCACATGTCAATAACTTGAATCATGCAAAAACCATGGTTCAAAAAAAATGCGAATAAGACCATCTCACTTTCGTCGTTTATTCCCAGACGAATGTTCTATTCGAATGGTCGCTTTTTTTCTTCTCCTAATCATTAGCATTATCCTTTGCATTGCTTGCCTTATCGGAACGATTATTACCTATTCCCTCTATCAAGGAGAGGATCCAAAATATTGGACACTTGACCGTGATCCATTTACGATGGTTTTTGCACATACAAATTCATGTTATGTGAAAGACGTTGTATGTTCTAGGAGATATTGTGATATATATGGAATTTCCACTTCTTACTAGTATTGTCTTTTGGAATTATTCGTCATTGGCTAGAGTTTCACCTGGTGTAGTTTATGATATTTCGAATAGTTTTGATTATTCCAAAATATCTCCAAATATTACACTAGAAAAGAATATATTGTATGGAACAGCAAGAACTTCGGATCAATTTACAAGTATGCTTGGAAAAACTATTACATGTTTTACAGATTATTCTGAAAAGGTATACATTAGTCCAATAATTCCAGCCAGTAATGTAAATTATGAATTAGGAAATGCTGGGCTAGCTACTGCAATTTGTAGTGGAATATTCTTTTTGACTTCATTAGGAATGGTGTTTATTTACTTTTTTTGTGGTTGGCTTTATAAAACCTAGTTTCATAATTTTCAATTCGGTACCAAGAGCTTGGGATAGACAAGCTTATCGAATCATCTCAGAAATACGAGAAGTTCCAAAAAGAGATAATTCGACAGAATAATACCAAGTAGTATTTTATTTCTTCTTTGGTATTTCACCATTAGATGAGGAAGTTCTCTTTCTCTTCTTTTCATAGGTTGAGTTATTCGTTTCAGTAGTGCTTAGTTTTGATTCATTTTTTTCTGGATTGGAATAAGCATCACGTATGGAAGGAAAGAAATATGATCTATAATCTTGTGTATCGACTATATCTGTAATTCCAAGTAATGCCAAGCATTCTCTTGTGGTAGGTCTTTCCTTTCTTTCTATGGCCACCATTTGTTTAAGCATGTCAAATAGCATACTACCCTTATTGGGCTCTAGCTCGTGGCATTTGATTGAAATTGTTTGCCATATTTCATCAGCAGTATTTTCCAACCGTTTCTTATCTATATCATTTTCTAATATCAATTCAATAAAAACTAAACCAAGAGAGTAGATATCAGTTTTTGGATGAATAAAGTTTTTCCCTGTGGATTCCTTTTCAGGAGCATTGTAAGAAGAGGTTCCAGCAGTTGACTGTATCCACAAGTTTGCTAATTTGCAAGTATCACCATCTTCAATGTCAAAACGCTTGGCTAGTTCAAAATCAATGAATTTACAAAAACAGTTTGGGCCTTTTTTTTCGTGGGCATCTGTTTCCTTAATAACTAATGATTTTAAATGATCCTCCTCTAATATTATAATATTACTAGGTTTAATGTCATTGTGAATTATCTTTCTTGAGTGAATGTGGTCAATTTCAAGCAGCAGTTGAGAAATAATGTGCAATTTTTCTTGATGTGATCGTTTGTTAAAAGTATTGAGCTCATCTCCTGCAATTGATATCTCGATATGTTCTTTACAAACCACATCATTCACAGTAACTCTGTCATGAAGAAGAAATATATTTCCAATATCAAACCTTTCTGGTTTTTCTGAATGGAAAATCTTTACAAACACTGGTTGAGAGGAATGATCAAGCACACCATAGAACATGTCTTTGGTAGCAGTACCTCTTCCTTGACCAGTACTTATCTCGACAAGATACTCCTCAAGAGTGACAGTTGTTGTAAGCACTGTGTCTAATGATGTTGTGAGATGAACCACCAACTTATCACCTTGTGAAATATCATATCCACTGACAATAGAACTTTCCATTCTCTTTCTTCCCATAGACGCTTTGGTAATTGTGTCGATAAGAATGTTCTCTTCAAAAATAGCTTTTCTGCTTGCCTCTAGTAAGAATGAAATAAATGTGTCAAGTAATTGTTTCTCCTCTGTCGTTGAAGGGTCAAGTGGAAACATCCCAACATTAAATAATTGATATTTGTATCTTTTCTTGATACGTGAAGTTTGTGGAACAAAAGCTTTAATTCCCAGCACACGAACAAACCTCTTCTCTGTCAGTAATCCATAGGTCACCAGTTTATCGATTTGGATTGCATGTTTTTCAGAGGGCTTTATGTTTTTGAGTAAAGTGCCATGAACCATTCTTATTAGAGCCACTACCTTCAAGAAATCAGGGTGAGCAGTCTCGAAGTCTACCTTGTCCTCATGCCCAAACTTTAGACGAACGTCTTTCTCATTCTTTAATTCTAATACAGAAAAGTTATCAAGTGAAATAGTGCCCTGCAGTAAGTTTGCCACTTCCTTGCTGAGATATCTCGAGTTTTTTATCAAATTGCTGATAGAAACATTTCTTATTTGTTCTGAGCTCAATAATGTTTGGTTAAAAAACTTACTCATTAATTTTGAAGCCGTAGAGAGTAGGTAGTTGTAATAGCTTGTGGTATTTAGTGTTATTGGTATCCTCTCCCAAAGAATGCGTTTTGGTTGGATGTAAGCAATCGGATAAAAGTTGAAAAGCTGCACTCAAATCTATCAAGTTGAAAACATCTACCACTTGTGCAAATTTTTCAATGACCAAACGATAATGTGTGGAAATGGCTTCTTTGTCCTTTTTGAGATTGTCAATGAGGCAGAACAATTGTTCTATTAAATTTCGAAAGTCGCTTATCACAGATACTTTTTGTATTGCAGCATGGAGGTTGTGATCCAAATGATGAGTATCTGAAA